GAAGAACGAGTACCTCGTCGTAACGGGGCAGGATCCGGTAGGATAGGAGCCGTAGGAGAAGAAGACAATGGCAAGTCTTGAGAGCCAGGACACTCGATAGACTGGAGGAACATGAGCGGTAGAACCATCGGAAGGGAGCACTTGTGAGCAAGGACAACGACTATAAACCTGAAGAGGTGGACGCGAAAGAAAAGGAGAAGAGAAAGGAATAGGTAACACGTAGCTGACAGACGGGATCAAAGATGATGGAGAGAAATAAGGTGTGGACTCAAAAAAGGTAACATCAGCTGAAAAGTAATACCTACGAGTATCAGGAGAGAAACACTTATAATCCTTTTGAACTCTAGAATAGCCAAGGAAAACACACTTCAACGCACGTGGAGCTAACTTATCCCGACCCAATGAGTGATCATGCACAAATGCAGTACACCCAAAGACACGAAAGAGTAAATGATATAAAGGATCTTGAGGGAACAATATCTGGTGGGGAATTTTATTCTGGAGAACCGAGGACGGCATGCAGTTGATAAGATAGCAGGGAGTAAGAACAACATCAGCCCAAGATCGGAAAGGAACATGATGATGAACAAGCAAAGTACGAGCAGTCTCAATTAGGTGGCGATTTTTGGGTTCAACCAACCCATTTTGCTGAGGAGTATAAGCACAAGAAGACTGATGTAAAATACCATAAGATGACATAAACTAACTCATAGGAGTAGAGAAGTATTCAGTAGCATTATCCGTCCGAAGTATTTTAAGGGAAACACCAAACTGATTTTGACTTTTAGCATAAAATGTTTCAAAGACAGAAAATAGTTCGGAACGAGCTTTCATCAAATAAAGCCAAGTACATCTTGAGAAATCATCAACAAAGGTAACAAAGTACTGAAACCCAAATACAGAAGTAGTTCGACACGGACCCTATATATCAGAGTGGACTAAAGCAAAAGGCATATCAACCCTATTATTAACCTGCCGGGGAAATGAAACGCGAGTTTGTTTTTCTAGCTGACACGACTCACAGGACAATGAAGATAAACTAGAAAGACTTGGAACAAGCCGATGCAACTTAAAGAGACTCGGATGACCCAGCTGTTGGTGTAGAAGTTGAGGAGAATTGGCAGTGGAACATGCAATTGGGAGTGAATGTGGTGGAGGGTGGTCAAGGTGGTACAATTCATGGATCTAAAGTCCTTTGCCAATCGTCCTCCCCGTTCTGTGGTCCTGAATAGAGAATGAATCAGAGTCAAATGTTATTGAGCAGTGCAAAGTTTTAGTTACTTGACTAACAGAAACAAAATTAAATGGACAATAAGGAACAAAAAGAACGGAGGATAAGGGAACACATGGCAATGGTTGAGCATCACCGACAGCCTTAACAGAAACTCGTGACCTATCAGCTAAAGTAACATCAGGTAATGAGGTAGACTTATGAAATTCGGAAAACAATTTTGGATTACCAGATAGGTGATGAGAAGCACTAGAATCAAGGACCCATGGTCCAAAAGAGGTATCAGTGTGAGCGACAGAGGCAAGATACTCCTCGTAGTTTGAACCAGTTAAAGTGACAGAATTACCCGATAACTGAGGAGTTTCAACCTGCGCAACATCAGCCCGAGGTGGCCGGCCATGCAATTTAAAACATTTATCACGAGTATGGCCCCACCTGTTGCAATAAGTGCAGCGTGGACTAGAGGTCCCACGAGAGCTCCCATGAGGACTAGGATCACCTCGCATATGCGATGAAGGTGAAGCTAGTAGAGCATACTTGTCTCCAGAATCAATAATCGGATGTTCCATAGAGGAGACACGTAATAAGCGAGAATAAACATCATCAAGAGTCGGAACTGTTGAGCTGAAAAGGAGTTGATCACAAACCGGACTCAAATCTAGACCAAGACCAACTAGTGCACACACCATATAGAATATATCACGCTGAGCAAGCTCCTCCGCAGCCGTTTTTCCCTGGAGGTAAAACTGAATTGAGTTCAGCTTTGATGGATGAAAGTTTACCGGGATACTCTAGAATTGTCAATCCGGGTTGACGAAGATTGACCAAATTAGATACCACGCTGTAGAGGCGCTGAATATCATTGGTATATAAAGTCTTCGCATGTTTCCAGAGATCGTAACAGTTTTTAAAATTGGTAAAAATTGGATGAAGGCTTGGATCAATAGATTACCAAAACAAACTGCATAATAAAGCATCAGCCTTAAGCCATGTAGCTTTCTCAGTGTCAGCAATCTGAGCGGACGAAATAACAAGGTGATTTGCCAAACCTTGACCCATATACCACATTTGGACAGCTTTAGACCAAGAGCCATAGTTAGAACCCCCAACCAATCGTTCTGTAACAATAGCCGGGGTTGGAGAAAGAACACCCGTAAAAGAAGCAGACATGGTTGGGCCACATTTGAATTGAAGAGAAATCTAAGCCACAACTTAATGACAATCCAACCTAGGAGGAGAAATAAGAACAGCCTTGACAGACAGCAGACCGAAGGAAAGAAGAGAGGACAGCGCAGCGGGCGGCGCGGCGGGGTTAGGGTGGATGACGGGATCACGGTGGCTCTGATGCCATGTAGAATATCGATGTATATTTTTTATTATATTTTCATCAAAAGGAAGAATGATTTTACAATGTGTAAAACCTTGATATATTAAAACTATACAAAATACCTAAACTACCCTCATACTATTATAAATACAAAAAATACCCCTATGCATAATATATCTAACAAAGACAATGGTCACGGAAGAATGAGACACAACAATTTAAGGCATGAGTTATTTTGCTAATAGAGAGATCAAATTAAATGCAAGGTCAGAAATATGTAACACAGAGCATAATTGATGGTATGGTGTAAGGTTAGCAACCCTAACCCCAGTAACTTGTGTACTAGAACCATCCCTGATGGTAAGAGATGAATGACTAGAAGAAATAGAGGATAAAAGGTTCTGGCTACCTTTCATATAGTGTCAAGGTTCTGGCTACCTTTCATATAGTGTCATTGATCCACTTAGAAGCAAGAAACAAGACTTACCTAACTCAGTTGTGCTAATTGACTTAGATGAATTCACCAAACTGTCCTGGGACACAATAAGCCAGGCATACTCATTTGCAAGTATAGTAACCATTTGAGACTTATTGTTGGCACGTAGTTACATTTTCTATATGAACTCTTTGATTCCGATTCTTCAACTTCTTGCAAAACCTCTTAGCAGACAATACCCCCACCAATAAAAGTGCCATGAGTAACAAATTAGTTGCCTCTAGGTTGACGTGATGAAGTGCCGTCACATGGCTAACCAGTGCATGTACAAGAGTAGAAGGAGTGGTCCCAATATCCATACGGCTCAAGCGCTGGAATACCGTAGATAATTGGGGAACATCAGAAGTGGTAAGTAATTGAGACCTCACATTATCAAAGCGAGAATGTAGGCCTGCCAAGAAATTCATCATTGCCATCTTTTGTTGTTGTTGAATGCACACACCAGGACTAACGGAATCAACATATTTAGCTCCTTGTGAGTTCTTTTGAAACTAATGAAATATGTTTGAAGAGACTAATCTTGCTATTCGGCTCGATAAACGCTCTGACAAACATCATAGATACGAGAAACATTCCCTTCCCCTGAGTATAAAAAGCCTAGGTATTCTAACAACTCCTTGACAGGGTCACAGTTTTTGCATCGGCCTCAATTGAGTTTTTAATTTGGAGGAATAATCTAGAATCATCTCGCATTCATGGGTCTGCAGCTAAGGGTGGGTCCTTGTCTAGATGATTAGCTATACTACTACTTCGAAGATACACCATGATAGTCTTAGACCAATCAAGATCGTTTGATCCATTCAACTTGTATTCTGTGATCTTAGGAATAAGTGGTACACCATCAAGGACAATCTTTTCGGTTCCTAATCCGACTTCCTCTCGCCAATTATGGAAACACCAAAATTGCACCAGAATAATCTCGTATCCATCCAGATGGTTCTACTGTACCTATTACATGCCAGAAACTCTGACTGGGAACAAATCTTTCTCCATACTGCATCACTCCATGCGTGATCAGGGGCAGCAGTCAGATGGACGGGCGGCTGACGGCGACTCCGGCGAGGATGGTGGCTCTGGCGATAGGCGGCTCCAGTGAAGTGACGGCCTCCAAACATCTTATCTCAAAACCCGCTCTGATGCCATGTATGATCGAATCATTTGATTATATTCTCACTAAAACTGAGTAATTAAGATTTACAATTAGTCTTACAAATATGTATAAATACATTGCGCTAGACCTATAATATACAGTAAGATACAATTAACTATATATATATTTAACAATATATAACACTACAAATGCATCGTACTCAACATTGATCAGAGGCTGATCCTTAAAAACTCTGACGTAGTAGGATGCTCAAACTAGTGTATCATAACTCACAAGTCGTTTCAAACTCAAATAACTTTTCTTGGCCTGCTTGTGAAATATGTGGTGCTTGGATTGCAAGAAGAGGCTGATAGGAAAGTACATAACTAATCTAACTTCAATGTGTGTTGTGCATGTGACACAATACTCAAATAATTACTCTGCTCTTTTCTAGCCATTCAAAAATAATATGTATATATATATAAGGAAGTGCAGCAGTTTTCTGATTTATATGCTGACGGGAGGGGATCGTCGACCCCCTTGCTTCCCAGCCCCCGACGCCCCCTCTAATACAACTGTGTATATATACACAGTGTGTATGTATATGTGATATATAAATATATGAAATATATGTATATATATGTCACATATACATACAAATAGTATATATACGTATCACTTTTGGTGAGAGGTGTGAAGGGAGCACAGTATATGGGGGGCTGAGGATCCCATCCCATATGTTGACATAGTATTTCACTGTGACAATGGCCATGTTAATGGGTAGATGGCATCTTTTGCCCATGATTATAATGCTTCTGCCATTTAATGTGTTTTGTTTATTCTTTTCAATTCCTAGAGCTGGGAGAAAACCGTGGATTGCTACAGTCCAGGACAGGGATTGATGCCAGCTAGCTTCAAAGTTAGAACGGTGGCTCTAGATGATAATAAATCTGAAGAAGTTCTTGATCCGGATTTTGGGGAATCAGCTATCGGCCGTGTAGCACCTGTGGACTCAGGTATTGGTGATTCCTTTTCTGTCGGAGACTTAGTCAAAAATTAGTTCACTAATCTTCTGGGGTATTATCTGTTTAGGACTCTGGTGGATCATCTTACTAAGAGCTTACGGGAAGCTCACAGGTGACTATGCATTACAGGAAAGAGTTGACGTCCAAACAGGAATTAAACTTATTCTAAACCTCTGCTTGTCGGATGGTTTCGACATGTTTCCCACTCTACTCGTAACTGATGGGTCCTGCATGATTGATCGACGGATGGGCATTCATGGCCATCCCCTGGAAATTCAGGTAATTCGTGGCTTAAGTGTTGTTATATCTTGTCTGTTTTGAAAATGATTTGTTTCAACAATAGAAAATAAATGGATTCAATTTAAAATTAGGCCTTGTTTTACTCGGCCCTTCGATGCTCGCGCGAGATGCTTGCAGTAGTTGATGGCTCCAAGAATCTGATCCAAGCCATAAATAATAGGCTCAGTGCATTATCGTTTCACATCAGAGAATACTACTGGGTCGATCTGAAGAAGATCAATGAAATTTACCGGTACAAGACAGAGGAGTATTCCACTGAAGCCACAAACAAGTTTAATATATACCCCGAACAAATTCCTGATTGGCTGATGCATTGGATTCCCGAGGAAGGTGGTTATCTCATCGGAAATCTGCAGCCGGCTCATATGGATTTCAGGTTCTTCATGCTCGGAAATCTCTGGTCTATTGTGTCGTCTCTTGGCACACCCAAACAGAATGAGGCTATACTAGCTCTAATCGAAGCTAAATGGAGTGACCTAATCGCTCAGATGCCACTTAAAATATGTTTCCCAGCTTTGGAGGCAGAGGAGTGGCGGATAATCACTGGATCGGATCCAAAGAACACGTGAGTTCTAACAGCAGCCCGTGACACTTTCTGTTCGAAAAAAACAAATAATTGACTGTCATTTTAATTTTTATACATATCTTGACTTTTGCAGACCTTGGTCATATCATAATGGTGGATCTTGGCCGACGCTTTTGTGGCAGGTAAGAATTCCTTATCAATAACTGCTGTGTCTGTTTTTTTCTCAGTTTGGTGATTCATGGTTCGACTCTCGTTTAGTTCACGCTGGCGTGCATGAAGATGGGTCGAATTGATCTTGCAAAGAAGGCAATAGATTTAGCCGAAAAGAGACTTCCTGCAGATCGGTGGCCAGAATATTACGACACGCGAAGTGGTAAGTTCATAGGTAAGCAAGCTCGACTATACCAAACTTGGTCTATTGCTGGATTGTTAACATCGAAGATGCTTCTGAAGCATCCAGAAATGGCTTCTGCCCTTTACTGGCAAGAAGACTACGATCTTCTTGATATTTGCATCTGCGCTATGAGTAATTCCTCCCGTAAAAAATGCTCCCGCTGGCTTGCTAAGTCTCAGATTCTTGTCTGATGATAGATGATGATTTATGGGAAAGAAATTCGACGTATGAAATACCCATTTTTATTTTTTTTGTACAGATAACAAAATTTAGGTGTGTTGAGCTGAGGCTCGATCGACTTATAGTTGAATGTTGTCACGTATTTGTTAAGTTTATAGGTAGTCGACCTCGGGAGCCATCGGTTTTATGGATGAGCTTCGAGTCGAGATGTAATTGAGCCTCGGTCTCGTCTCTTATGTATGTATGCAAAAATAAGCAGATTTGAATGGTATAATATATATGTAAAAGAAAGTGACAGTGTTTTGACAAATATGTTGTTAAAATTCTTACATTTCGTCCTGGGGCATATCTTGTGTGTTTTGGTAGTTTTGATAAGAGAGTTTGGAGAGTTTTGAAATTTTAAAAATAGTAAAATACTCTCTCCGTTTCAGATACCATGTCCACGTTGTCGTTTCTGTCTGTCCTACATACCATGTCATTTTTCTTTTTTTAAAAATGATTATACACTTTAATCTCATTTTAATTTTTTTTATTTTTTTTTTAATTTTAATTAAACTAATTAGTTATCTTAATCTTAATTTATAATTATTTATATTATAGGATAATTATTTTCACTAATACATTCTTAATTATCTACTAATTACATCCATTCTAAAATACCGTGTCTACAGTGTAGCTGATACGGTATCTGGGACGGAAGGAGTATTATATTTGATGTTCTGATTTTGTGTGTTTGAAGGACTGCAAATCTGTCGTTGCCAAAATCACACCTCAATGAATATGAATGAAGCCTGAGCATACAAATAATCTGATTAGTTGCCAATAGTGCTTTCGGTTCAATTTTATAGAAGTGAGCATTTGAATTTTCGTATCAAATTTTGTCAAATTCAAACAATTCGAAAATTCAAATTTTTTGGAAAAAGAAAATCAATCTGGATCGAATCAAATTGTCCAAGCTTCGGAATCCGAAATCTGAATTATAAAATTCGAACCATACTAAAAAAATTCAAAGTTAAATTCAAAATCCGAATCATAAAATTCGAATCAAATCGAAAAATTCGAAATTGCATAATATATTTAGAAATCTAAATGTTGTTTCTTTTTCTACTTGTTATTAAAATGTTATACTAATACAAAGTTATCAAATATATATTAAATAAAGATTCAATTTTAAAAGATTCAATTTTGAATTTTAAATTGGTTCAAATTTTTATTATGTCCATATGAATAGTTTAAAAAATTCAATTTCTTTTTTTAAAAAAAGTCTGAACTAATTCAAAAAATTCGAATTAGTTGAATTTCGGATACATTATTGTTCATCTGTATTTGATTCTATCCAAATTGTACAACAATATTTTGTACATATTTAGAACATGTACATTGGCTTATATATCGAGGTGCTCCACGCTTTTTTCATCAAGACCAACAAAATAATAATAATAATAATAATAATAATAATAATAATAATTAAAATGACACAAATACCTAATTTTAAAGGCAACAAAGTAATGACAATTTGGCTTTTGCCTGGTGGAGCCATGGCATCTCCAAGCCAAGAGAGAAAGTGGCATTTTTCATAAGCCATTATGTTTTTTTTTTTTTATTGCAAATGCTTGAGTAAGATAAATAATGGAAGCATTGTTTACAATAATAAACCATTGTACATTCTTGTGAAGTGTGTTAAAAGGATAATGCCTGTACGGATACTGATGTCCACTATTTCAGTAATTTGGGCTACCAGTCGAACATTAGAAAACTAGGAGAAAACACACAATATTTAATAGCTTAAATTATATAACTCTATTGCATTTTAGTAAAACTGTATAAAATACCATGTGTTTTATTTATGGCGTGAAAAATTTGCATGAAACACCCTCTTAATTCAAAATTAATATTCGGTTCTAAATAAATTCTTAAATTACATAAATTTTATACAAATAAAAAACGTAAAATATTTTAAATAATTTTGTTGAATAAAATAAATAAATAAATAATTGATCAATCATTTATTTGTACAGTTTTTTTAAAAATCAAATAACAATTTGTTTTAAAAAATTGTAAAATAAATGACTAATCAATTATTTATTTATTTATTTTGTGCAAAAAAAAAAAAAAAAATTATGTTTTTTATTTGTATAAAATTTGCATAATTTAACTCTTTATTTAGAATCAAATATCACTCTTGAACAAAGAAGGTGTTTCGACAAAGACGTTTCACGTAATAAATAGAACACCGAGTGTTTTGTAAATTTCTACTAAAACCATAAGGGAGTATTATATAATTTATCCTATTTAATATCCAGCACATATTAAGGTCAGTAGAAATTAGGAAATATTTAAAAAGATTCAACAGCAATTCAAATGAAAGTTGTTGAAGCTACAAAATACTAAAATAGTATCATCCTAGTCAGACAATTGAGCTGTCTTTGTGAATATTAAAAAGATCAACAATCCAATCTTCCTTAACATTGTGCACTTAGATAGATAATACAAGAAAGAGTTCTAACAAATTCAAGACCTTAGGCTTAAAGTTAGTAACAAGCAAATGGATGGATCACAATTTTGCTATGCTGACCTGAAGAGATCAGATTTTCAAGGGCGGTTACAGTTACGGTTACCGCTTGGAGGGTCTCACATCATCTTCTCCACCGTCGTCATCTGAATCATCTTTGCCCGATCGCTTCCTCTTTGATGATGGAGCCTCATCTTCATCACCATTGTCATTGTCATCGTCATCTTCCTCTCCCTCATCAATTTCTTCCTCGCCATTCTCTTGCGGTTCGAAGTCACTGGCATCTTCCTCGTCCTCGGCAGCAGCAACTGGTCTGACAAGATATTCTGTGCCTAGATCCTATTGAATTACCATACAAAGATAAATATCATAGATGAAATAGTTCAAACTATCGATGAATCAACTGATCAAATTAAAATAAAGCACGCTGGATTTTCGCTGATTTACTTGACCACAAGAAATTACTGTTATCTTGGTTCAATGTGTAATCTATGCAAACACATATAAACCAAAAGATGTTACGAAAAAGTTCTACTCATTTGAAGTTAGGCTAGAAAGGCGAACAGACTCAAATTCTATGATTTGTAAAAATGAAGTGTATATCCAAAATAAAAACAAAGTATTAACTACTTAAGCAATATAGCATCAAATATTATTGCAAATAAAACTACACCAATAGTATGAATATTTAGCACCAGTGTAGATCTGAAACCCGATAAAATTTAAATAGCATAACAGAAAAAGAAAAGAAAATTGCAGTACCTCTTCCTCCTCCCCATCCTCTTCATCATCGTCATCATCATCTTCATCATCATCGTCGTCATCATCATCACCATTGTCATCATCATCGCCGTTGTCATCATTGTCATCATCACCTTCATCATCTTCATCCTCATCACTATCAGCAGACCTAAGTGGTGCCCTAGCACCACTGCTATTCAACACTTCCTCCACCTCCTCGTCCTCCTCATCTTCCTCATCCTCTTGATCATCTTCGTCTTCATCACCATTATCATTACCATCAATTTCCTGCTCAAATACTCCCTCCTCTGCTGCCATCACCATCAGTTTCTGCTAAATCAGGAGTTTAAGTACATTAACTCAATTTTAAATAACAAAAGTACAAGGGTTAGTCATTATTTTCAAGCTAATCTCAAGGTTGTTACAGAGAGGTTTTAGGCATGGCCCCCGACATACAGCGACCTATCTATTGTAAATTCCTAATATTTAATTATACAATATATAATTATAACATCAAAACACTAAATTTATTAAATTTCAAATAAAATATCAAAATACTATTATAGGAAAAATAATGTCAAATATGAGATTCACTACAAGCAAATAGTTCGTGAGAGTCAAGTCCCCCGAAGCCGCATTTACTTGTGAAAACAAGAATGAAATATCTTGAAAGATCATTCCTAACATTTCTACCAATGAAATTCACTCTGAATGAAAACAAAAATGAAAATTGAAATGCTATTAAAAGTTAAAAATGACAACAAGAAGCTTTTCTAACAGCAGGTTGAAACCAAGTACCCAGTGTTCCATGGATCAGATCAAAAGTTGATTTCCTCTATCACAGACCATACCAGAAAAATCTAAATATTAAAAGATGCAGACTAAGTATAATAAGCCCAAATGCATCCCAAATGCATCGACAACAAGAATTAGTTATTGAATCTATCACTACTTGAAGTATGTTTGCTCAGCTAATCACAGTCCAAATTTCAAGCAACCAAACAACATAGAATGACTTTGTCTCATATATTTAGAATAACATATAATCATTTGACCCCTCACAACAGCAACAGCAGTTCATTAAATCAACTTAAATCAATTCCAATAAAATGGACATGGAAATATCAGCTTAATGTTCACAGACAGAATAAATGCATCGATTGAATTAAAATAAACTCGTATACAACCATAGATAATAGTATATTGCACGCAAACATTCAAGTAGCATCTCAATGGCCCCCAAACAGAAATAACAAGACATCTCCACAATCAATCTCACGTTCCAAACAAGAAGAAATACAGATCACATCTCGATAGAGAAATCCACGTTCAACAAACAGTGGGAAGGAAATAGAGCTACCTTTATCTCAATGGCGGCAGGTGATTGAACTGGATCGGCAGGGAAGTGCTGCGGCTGCTGCGGAAATCCAATGAAAATACCCTCGCGCCGCTTCTTCAACAGATAGGCCTCGCGCTTGTTCTTCCTGATCTCAACCAAATTGTCCTCCCTCCGCCGCCGCGCCTCCTCCCCATCGACGCCTATCTTGTAGCCCTTCTTCCTGGCCTCCGTCCTGCTAACCAGACGCAGTGACATCTCTGCCTGCCTGAATCCCTACTTCTCCTCCTCGACCGCTCGACGAATTGCCGGAGAGAGACGCGAGAGAGAGGGAGTTGAAAAGTGAAACGCGAAATAGGATGGAAAATTTTGGGGTTTCGGGAAGGCGTCACATTACAATAGTGAAGTGGTCCGACCCGACCCGACCCGACCCGGCCCAATACACACCCTCCTGAACCTCTTTTTTATTATTTATTTATTTTTTATTAGTTGGATCAATTTTAAGACCAATGTTGAAATTTCGGATCGTGTCATCGTGTGTCCATGCTGGTCTTATTATTTTAAATTATTTTAGTCTCTCTTTAGTGAAGAGTGTGCTTTTTTTAGGCGGATTCGAGAAAATTTGAGTTTGGTTTTTATTTGAATTTTGAGGTAGATTTGAATTTATAGGTTTATTTTGTGTCTAGATTTAGGTTGGATTTGGAGACTTTTAAAATATATTGATTAGTGGTAATTAATATAATAAGATAAATGTGCATTAATTTGTATAATTTGATTATAAATTTATATTATATCTAAGTATATATTTCTAAATTTTTATTTATTTGTATTATAAAAATTTTATTATCTACAAAATAATATATATATATTGTATATATTTTATTAAATTATATTTTTTATAATTCTTTTTGTATTTATAATTCTTTTTACATTGTTATTCTTTTGTTATTTGATTATAACTTTTTTTTTTTTTGTACAATTTTTATAATTTTGCATAAAAGTATACTCATTTTATTTATGTTATCGCAAAAAATTTGCATAGCTGCCCACTCAACTTGGACTTGTTAAAATCGATATTAAATTGGATTTTTGATCCACTTAAGAAAATGTTGGGCTTGTCTCGCAAATCTACAATGAAAATGTAATGAATTCATAATCGAAAATATTGTGGAATTGAAAATTTAAATTAAAGTAGATAAAAAAAATAAAAATACACTAAAATGGATGATAATAAATTAAATAATAATTTAGGAATTAAAACCAATATCAATGTAGCAATAAGAACAAAAACAAAATATGAAGGAAAAAAAAAATTGTTTTTTTACGAAATTGGATCTAGACTTATGTTTTTTTTTTTTTTTGGCTGATGTCTCCTCTCTTTTTATCTTTCTTTTTTGTTTTCTCTCTTTACCAATTTTCATTTTCTTCATCGTTGTCCTCTTTCTTCAACGTAGTTCATGTCGATGTCAATTTCTCCAACATTCTAGTTCATCTTTTATTTTCTCCACCATTTAATATAATCGACTTCCTATACATGGTGATCAACTTTCAATTTGAATATATTTGAAACGGCAAGTCACTTTTAATGTCAAATTCCTGTCAAATTGCCAAGTGTCATCACACACCATCACCAATTATATTTAAATGCCAAGGCAGACACAACGATGACCAACGATAAGTGAGGGTAAAAGGCAACAAAGGCGTATTGTATGTGACACATGTAGGAGAGAAAAAATACCCCGGCCGGCCTTGAGAACAGGTCTAAGAAACAATGAGTTTTAGGGCTAGGTTTCTATTTTAGAACTGGATTTCTTGGCCCGCTATTTGGGTAGACTAGTTGTTTGGCGTTTATTTGGCAGGATGGCGTGGCCTTGGCGATGCCTAGACGCCAAGCCTCGCAAAATGGCGAGACGAACTATTATGGCGGTACCAATACACCGCCAGGACGTCTAAGCGATGATGTAACAACACTGCCTACGATGCTCATTGAAATTTTATGCTAACATGGTCAAATTACTTTAACTACAAGCAAATTCATATATCTCTACATTCATTGATCATGAATAGTTAGAGAAAATAAATAAACAAACAAATATACCATACACAAAGATAGGCAAAAGCTACTGGAACTATACACAAGTATTTTTTTACTTGAGATAAATATTATACTTAAGGTAGAATTGACCTAAGACATAAAAGATTTTACATAATAAAACAAAAAATTTAATAGCAACTCTTAAGTTAACACATAATCATATCTTTACTGATTCATTATGTTTGGTTTGATACTTATTTCACACAAAAATTATTTGTTTCATGTTAGTAGCCACTAAACCAAATAAATTCAATTTTATAGAAATACAAAAAGTAACCAAGGATTACATTAACTTTTACACAACGAGGAAAGGAACAGACACGGAACAGGGGGAGGTAAAGGCACAGACACCATCTGAATGGAAGAAAACGATTGAGGTTTAGAGATTTGTTGTCATGATGTGGCTCAAGCACAAAACCTCGCCGCAGTCGCCTACTTCATCCACCATTTGCAATTTGAAAGCATTGCCCGCCATTGGTGTCAGGGTACGGATGTAAAAACCCTAGAAGATGATTGGGGATTTAGATAAAAGAGAAATTGAGAGGGTAAAATGCGCTGAAACTAGAAATCTTTAGAACATCTAAAGTCATGTTATTTGTTGTGACAAATATAATAAAGACAATCAAGAACAGAAAGAATCGGAAAACAGAATAACAAGGTTCACCAACAGGGACGTTGGCTACGTTTACGGTAGAAGAAAAATTATCTTATTAGGGTTTTAGAATGTGGCACGTATAGCGAGACGTACGGCTCAGTGAAGTGGAAAATAAACGTAAAACATACCAAATTCAAGACATCCCAACAAATAACTAGTATTAGAGTGGCCTTGACGGTGGTGTCGATCAAAGCAAACGAGAGCACAACTGACGATACCTCACGGGTGAGCATGTCCAAATGAGGGGTGAACATTTTGCAAAGAGTGCTCCTTGGGAGAAGGAGTATGCTCGATGGTATCGTAGCGCCAAAGTGGAATAGTTTTGTTGGTGGAGAGAAACCATGTTAAGGGTGATCTTCAGGCTAAAAGCGCAAGCCACAATAGGTTGTGTTCCAAATGATGTGTGAAGATGAGCGGCATAATGGGGTATATGTGGTCGGTTGTGAGAAACCTCACTTAGATAATATTTTTATTTTTAACATATATGTATTTGTTAATATATATTTATAAAAATATTTATTTAATATATTTAATCTATTAAATCAAGTCGGGCTAGGCACGGCCCGACTTAGTGCGCTCAGGCACGGCCTAATTTATTGGCATGTTGGGTTAAACAGGGTCTAAAAATTTTTGAGCCCATATTTTTAGGCTCAAGTACGATTTTTTTGTATTGGGTTCATATCGAATTTTTGGGTTGTGTTTATTTTCGTTAGCTCTAGTTTCGGTGCAAGTATGTTTTCACATATATCGTCTATATTACATGATATTCTAGGTTTATAGCATGGCCCTAGAGCAACAGGACTTAGGCGCAGGGCATGTTAGTTGTTGGACACATTACATGCTGTATCAGAACTTTGGTTCCACTTGGGTTGTTAGATAGTGCAATATTTGATTTTGGATTCTTTTGACTGCTATGGAAGCAAAATTCAAAATTAAAACATTTAATAACAAGAATGATTTTGAATTATGGCGCATTGACATGCGTGTTTTATTGGTTTGAGGGATGACATATCGTATTGTACTAAAAATATTGATCTATACCGCATATCGGACCGAATATTTCAGGATGACAAAAATATATTTCGGTATACCAAAATTTTTTATATATATTGTTTACACCGAAATTTTTGGTACATTTCAGTATACCAAAAATTTTGGTACGATATCACTATATACCAGATTTACCAAAAATAAAATTTTGAATTACAATAATATTAAAATAAAATTAACCAACACATGGGCAAATGACTAATGAACCACAACCTTTATGCAATTCAATTTATCAATCACTAATATATAATCAAGTTTCTTGCGCAATTAGCTCCTTGTTGTATCTCCACTACAAAAATATTAAGAAAAATCATTTTTTCAGTCCACAAAACAAAAGCATGTTACATACATGATAATATTAAACAAACACTCACCAATGTCATCTTTAGTAAGCTATACAAATAAAATCTTCCTCTTTTCCGAATCATTCAAGCAACCATCTAAATATACACCTACAACCAACATCAAAAAATAAAAAATAACAATCGACACAATATAAAAAGTTTTTTTTTACCACCAATACATACTTACAGCAAATATCCTTAGTCTTTTGCCCGCTGGAAATCCAAGTCCATCACCCACACCTATCAACAATATGTAAAGTTTTTTCACAACCAAAGATTAAAGTATTTTAATAGGCTTAATATATAAAAATTACAAGACTTACAAGAGACAAATTTTCCTTAACCAAAGTCAAGTTAGAGAATAATCTTGAATTTTTTTTGTACTTATAGAGACGTAAAATTTTATTAATATATTGTATAAACATAAATAAATAAAAAATATATTACTTAAACATGATGATGATGATAATAATAATAATAATAATAAGAATAATAATAATAAAAAAAACATCTTACACATTTCGATTTCTTTGTAAATTTCTAAATGATCATCACCATCAATCAAACCATCTTCACTATTGCACTCCATCTCTATATTATGTTCTTCCGTAATTGAATCTTCATTCATTCCCTTATACTATATCCACAAAATTATTAAATTTATTTTATCCTTTTCAATATTTTTTTGAATATTTGGAGAAGGTCCTCTCAATATTTTTCATAGTCGCTTTGATCACCTGAAGCTTGTTTCTTGGGTAAAAAATATTAGCACTAAAGATCAATGGATTCATGGTATCCCAACTCCCCAAACATTCATTGCACTTACAACTTTTTTAAACGTTGTATTTGAAAAATCATTGCATTTTTTTTTTTCAATTTTAATTTGTAGTGCAACCAATAATTGATAATCAATTAAGAAGTAAGAGTTTTTTATGCATACAATTCTAAAGTAGCATCGTAAAATTTCTTCAGAAAATGTATAAATGCATTTGCATTCTCCAAAATCTTCTTGGTGGTTCTACTTTTTTTTTTTTTTTTTTTACCTTTTTTTTCATTTTTTTTAGATTAATAATTCATAAAAGATACTTATTCTTCCGTTATTCTATCAAACATACTTCGATGCTTCAATGCAACATTAAGTATTTTACAAGTGACATTCCATCTAGTTTTGACATACATAGGGATTGTGATGTGTTAGAAAATTTAGCTTAAATTGCAAACTTCCTAAATTTATTCAATCTTGAAAGGTGAAGAATGAATGAAATTAATTGTATTCCCGATGGATTTAATCGATGCATCATCTCTTCAAACAATCCAAAACAATTAAGTTCAGAGTAGGACCAATTAAGTTCAGAGTATGACCTGAATATCTCAAATGCAAATATTTTCCTTCAAACATAAACATATAAAAAAGAAGAAGCTAAAAACAGTATATAATTTTTTTGGTTTGTTTGCTTTTATTTGAAATTGGACCTTTGATTTCACTATAAGTTTAATTAGTATTTTAATGTGATATTTTGTAAGAAAAAATAATACTATTTTTATAAGAAAAATGTAACATATGAATAGTACTCCCTGTGTCTCAAATAATTTGTCCACTATTTCTATTTTCGTTTGTCGGACATATTTTTTTTTTAGAAATATAATTATACACTTTAATCATATTTTAAAATTCATGATTTATAATTTCTATTTACTATTTACACAATATCTAAATCTCTTTACTCAACTGAAATGAACAAATTAGCTAAGATGGAGAGAGTACTATATTTCAAATAAAAAACAAACTAACCAAAAAATTCAAAAAATAGTATTCATCAATCCTAATTCAAAGTACATTTTTACTTTTTTGTTTTTCCCATTCAAAATTTTTTTTTTTAAAAAAAATTAATTATAAACAAATTCAAAAATATCATTAACTTTTATTTAAATTACAAATATAATTACTTTATAAATAAAGTAAAATTAAGATAATAATATCAAAATCTATTACATATTTTTAATAATCAATAAAATATTATTATTTTTTAATTTATTATGAAATTCTAAATGACAATGTGACGAAGGAAGTATTACATATATCATCTATCAAATTTCCTTTTTTTATTATTTTTTTATTTTTTCAAAATTTCATAAAAATTCTTATTTCACTAAAATAAGTTGAAATAATAAGACCAGTATGGACACACGAACACGTTTAATAAAAATTCTTATTTCAAGAGAGACTAAAATAAGTTAAAATAATAAGACCAGTATGGACACACACGGTCCAAAATTTTCAACAGTGGTCTTAAAATTGATCCAACTAATAAAATAAATAAATAATAAAAAAAAAGGTTCAAAAACGGTGTGGATCGGACCGGCTCGAGAGCGCCGGGTCGGGCCACTTCACTGCTGTAATGTCACGCCTTCTCGAAACCCCAAAATTTCCATCCTATTTAGCGTCGCACTTTTCAACTCCCCCTCTCTCTCTCGTCTCTCTCCGGCAATTCGTCGAACGGTCGAGGAGGAGAAGTAGGGATTCAGACAGACAGAGATGTCACTGCGTCCGGGTAGCAGGACCGAGGCCCGGAAGAAGGGCTACAAGATAGGCGTCGATGGGGAGGAGGCGCGGCGGCGGAGGGAGGACAATTTGGTTGAGATCAGGAAGAACAAGCGCGAGGACAATCTGCTGAAGAAGCGGCGCGAGGGTATTCTCAATGGATTTCCGCAGCAGTCGCAGCACTTCCCTCCCGATCCAGCTCAATCACCTGCCGCCATTGAGAAAAAGGTAGCTCTATTACCTCCCGACTGTTTGTTGAACGTGGATTTCTCTATCGAGATGTGATCTGTATTTCTCCTTGTTTGGAACGTGAGATTGATTGTGGAAATGTCTTGTTATTTCTGTTTGGAGCCCATTGAGATGCTACTTTAATGTTTGTGTTCAATATACTATGATCTATTATTGTACCTGGGTTTATTTTAATTCAATCGATGCATTTATTCTTTCTGTGGACATTAAGCTGATACTTCCATGTCCATTTTATTGGAATTGATTTAAGTTGATTTAATGAACTGCTGTTGCTGCTGTGAGGGGTCAAACAAATGGTTATATGTTATTCTAATATAAGAGACAAAGTCATTCTCTTATTTTGTTTGGTTGCTTGAATTTTGGACTGTGATTTAACTGAACAATATACTTCAAGTAGTGCTAGATTCAACAACTGCTGCTTGTTGTATATGCATTCGGGCTTATACTAACTTTGCATCATTACTCGGTGGATTTTTCTGGTATGGTCTGTGATAGAGGAAATCATGTTTTGATCTGATCCATGGAACACTGGGTACTTGGTTTCAACCTATTGTTAGTAAAGCTGCTTCTTGTCATTTTTAACTTTTAATAGCATTTCAATTTCATTTTCGTTTTCATCTAGAGTGAATTTCATTGGTAGAAATGTTAGGAATGATCTTTCAAGATTTTTCATTCTTGTTTTAACAAGTAAATGCAGCTTAGGGGGACTTGACTCTTATGAATGATTTTCTTGTAGTGAATCTCATATTTGACATTATTTTTCCTATAAAATCAATTTCCATTGACAGTTAGAGAGTATCCCTTCAATGGTGCAAGGTGTATGGTCCAATGATCCTAATGCACAAGTGGAGGCAACCACTCAATTTAGAAAGCTTTTATCAATTGGTATTGTTTTGTAAGACTTCAAGCTCTTAACATTGTGATGATAAAGTGGCAACATATGTTTTGTAACTTTCAATTATTGCAGAACGAAGCCCACCAATTGATGAAGTGATTAAAGCTGGAGTAATTCCTCGATTTGTTGAGTTCCTTGGAAGGCAAGATCTGCCTCAACTGCAAGTATGTTCCCCCATATAGCTGTTTCCTTGTAACATTTGATTGGAATAGATAATCAAATCTCCTTTTTTTTTTCCTTGGTTGCAGTTTGAAGCTGCATGGGCTTTGACAAATGTTGCTTCTGGGACATCTGAGCATACTAGAGTTGTAATTGAACATGGTGCTGTTCCGATGTTTGTGCAACTGCTTAGTTCTGCCAGTGATGATGTTCGTGAGCAGGTATTCATATTTTCTCTGTTACTGAGACTTAAAAGAGTGTCTGCTTCGTACTAACGATATGTGGTTAATAATCTTTCTTAAATTTTATCTTCTAAGAGTGTCTGTTTCGTACAAGTATATGTGCTTAATAACCATTCTTAAATTTTATCTGCTAAGCAGGCTGTTTGGGCTCTTGGTAATGTTGCTGGTGACTCTCCAAGTTGTAGGGACCTTGTCCTTGGAAACGGTGCCCTTATACCACTTCTAGCTCAGTTGAATGACAAATCAAAGCTGTCGATGCTGAGAAATGCTACATGGACTTTGTCTAATTTCTGTCGTGGGAAGCCACCTACTCCCTTTGAGCAGGTGTGGACCTTTGTGGAGTTTAATATATAATTTACTTTATAATATTGATAGTGAGTTGTTACTTACATGTAATGTTTATTCTGCTGTTTAAACCTACTAGGATGGATAAACAATTTAGTAATAGATTGTGTTAATATCTATGTTCATTTTGTCAGGTGAGGTCTGCATTGCCTGTTCTTCGGCAGCTTATCCATTTGAATGATGAGGAGGTGCTGACTGATGCTTGCTGGGCGCTTTCTTATCTTTCTGATGGAACAAATGACAAAATCCAAGCTGTGATTGAGGCAGGTGTCTGCCAACGACTTGTGGAACTGCTTCTGTATGTCCCTATGCTCATACAATAGTTTGAATACTGAATTTCATTTCCCATGCCTGCCATCTTTTTTTTTTTTTTTTTTTTTTATGAAATTTACTGGGATTGTTAGTTATGGTCATCTTTCAAAACTTTTGTTTGGCCTGGACAAACTTTATGGTGACAACATTTTGTTTCTCATGAAGCCACCCGTCACCTAGCGTTCTTGTACCTGCTCTTCGCACAGTAGGGAACATTGTCACTGGTGATGATGCTCAGACACAGGTATTCCATGGCAGTTTATAATTATTATTACACTTATTACGCCGATTCATTACTCTGTTTTCACAAATAGGGCCGTGTCCCTTTTCTAGCTATCTCTCACAGCTTAAGAGTTTAGGGTCTAAAATCTTGTTGAACTTTCATGTGCATAGATACTATTGTGGAATATTCTTCTAACTTCATTCTTTCATATTTTGAAGAGATTCATGAAGCCTTTCATGAAATAATTCCAGTTTCCAATTTTTGCAAATGTTTATATATATATGTATATATAAATTTTTTGGTATTACCGATGGGAAAATTACTATCATTTCCTTTTCTAGATCATCTCTATAGCAGTTACACTTAATCTACACTGCATGTTTGTGTGTCAGTTTGTAATTGACAACCGTGCGCTCCCTTGCCTCCAACAACTTCTTACTGGGAATTACAAGAAAAGTATTAAAAAGGAAGCTTGTTGGACAATCTCCAACATAACTGCTGGAAATAGAGCTCAAATCCAGGTACTTGTCTCCCTTATTTTCTTGATTCAATGAATCCAGGTATTTCTAACTGCATAAAAATAATCCATTTCATAAAAGCAATCTGATGTAATATATAGTTCACATTAGATATAAAGATCAACATTAACTCAAATGTTTATTACTCTATTCAATTCATACATTCTCTGGTCTTTAGTGATGAATCCCATTAATTTGTAAGAAAGGATTCTCCATGACTTTTATTAGACTGTTAATATTTGAAGATTTGTTTCAACATTGAGAAGTCCCATCGATGCAGTTTGGTTGAGAAAATAAAACATGGATTTTTGGTTAATCAAGAAGTTTGTAAAAATTGTAATGAACATAGTATTTGGTAATTCATTAATTCAGCTAAAATTGTAAATTGATTTAGACTGGCAAGATCTTAACGAGTAGTTGTAAGATGTGTAGTGTTAAGCCCAGATGAAGAGGCTGGATTAAATAATGGGTGACGATTAAATTGGTTGGAATCTCTATGGAGTAGCTTGAGTTTCTTCCATTTTTGCTGGCACAATCGGGATTCTATATGAATTGACTTAAATAATGTCATCAGTTTAATTCAGTAAGTCATAATATAAACTTTTCAATTTTTTGTATAATGTGCTCTGCAAGTTCTATGTAAGTAAGCCATTGCTTGTTGAAAGAACAGATATATGCTACGATATTGACCCCATACTATGCAATCATCATGTAACATTTCCTTCTCAAAACTGGGAAGAGGCAGTGTAGAAAAAATGGCTTTTGTTTTCTCTTTCTTCATTGACAGAAAGCAAGGGTTGCAGGATTTGCTCGTCTGTCAGCCTTATTTTGTCGGGATTCTTTGACTTTGTTGTGATTGAATTTCATGGAACAGGCTGTCATTCAGGCAGAAATCTTTCATCCTTTGGTGCAACTTCTTCAACACGCCGAGTTTGATATAAAGAAAGAGGCTGCATGGGCCATCTCGAATGCCACATCAGGTGGATCACCTGAGCAGATCAGGTATACAAGGTTTTTCATTTTATTTTTTTTATTTTTATGGTGTGACAGTCCAGTGGCACATATTCATAAGATTTGATCTTAACAGTAAATACACAAACCACTCCCTACTCGTGCAGATTCTTGGCGACTCAAGGCTGCATTAAGCCGTTATGCGACCTCCTAATCTGTCCAGACCCGAGAATCGTTACTGTATGTCTAGAGGGACTTGAAAACATTCTGAAAGTCGGCGAAGCAGACAAAGAAAACGGGTTGAACAATGGAATCAACATATATGCACAGATGATAGATGACTGTGAAGGCCTGGACAAAATAGAAAATCTCCAAAGCCACGACAACAACGAAATATACGAGAAGGCTGTGAAGATACTCGAAAAATACTGGGTGGAGGAAGATGAGGACCAGAATCTCCCAGATGGCAGCGACGGAAATCCACACGGTTTCAGCTTCGGAAACACCCAACCGAACGTCCCTGCTGGCGGCTTCAACTTCGGTTGATTGCCAGATCCTGGTTTTTTTCGAGCTTTAAACTCGGTTCGCAATGCCTGTTTGTGTCTTTGTCTTGTTGTTATGTTTCTTTTGTTTCAACTGTCATAGTTTTGTTGTTCTTTTCTTTGTTTTTTTAAAAAGAATAGGCTCTATTTGTGTGTGAAGTGGTGGGGATGAATTTGCATGCCGCAGATTCATTTGTGTTTGTCTGTCTGTCAGTCATGTTGTGTTCGATACATGGAATTGTTGTCTCTTGTGTTATTGCTATATGTATTTAGGTTGTAGAGTCTTACACTCAATGGATTCATTTTTTATTTCTAAGTTCATTTTATCTTGTTTTACTTTTATGTTTGATATTACAGCATAACATCTCTCTTAAGAAATTGCATTTTCTTATATCTCTGCCTATATTCACTCACTATTCAACTATCAAACAAGTTTAGTTCAACAGTTTATCAGGGGTTGAGGTTGAGGTTGAGGTAGAGGATCTTCAATCTGTACATATCAACCTAATCAAACTAAGAAAACTATAGATTAATTTTATTTTTATTTCATTAATTAATATACATATAAATATATTAAATTTCAAATATGAATATTAGTGAACCAGGCTGCCCAGACACAGCCCTACTTTTATGGCTCCAGCACTGTCCGATTCATTAGCGTGCCGGGCCAAATAAAGCCCAAAAAATTTCAGATTTATTTATAATTTTTTTTTTTTTGCCAAGTCGGATCGATTTTTTAAGTCATGCCTATTTTTTACTTTCTCTGCATGGAATGTAAGTGAAAAGAAAAAAAAAACATTTGATAGAAAAAATTAAATATGGTATTATAGGGTTTTTATGTAAATAGAGTGAAAAAAAAATTATACTCCCTTCGTCATTCAAATCTATTCTCATTTTTTTTGTCATCCAAATTTATTCCCGTTTCCTTTTTTAGTAAAAAAAAACCATTTTTCTTTATAAAAAAAAAATAAAAATTTCTATTTTTATTTATTTTTCTTAAAATCTGTGTCCGGTCAAATGAGCATACAATTGAATGACGGAGGGAGTATATTTGTAATTAAGAAGTAAAGAAGAGATGAAATTAATGTACAGAGAGTGAAAGAAGAAATTGGATATAGAATTATAAAGTTATGTATAAATTGCCCTATTTATAACTTTTAATAAATTTAATATACTTTATTTATTTTTAAAATAAAATTTATATAATAAAAATTTATAAAAAATAAATTAATTTATGTTTTCTATGATTTAATTTATATATTTTATAAATAAATTAAATTAAAGAGTTTGTGTTTTTCAAAGCACACTTGTCAATAATATTACTAAAAAATAGTGTAATAACTGGACCCTTATTATTTTAATCTTGTAAATGGAGCATATCGCAAACTAGTCCCATAAGTAAAAAATTTTTTTCGCTGTTTTAGTCCTCCGGTGCCGGAGCGTGGCTCGCCGGAGGTGACGTGTCCGCCAGGTGTAGCTGACCTGGCAGATACGTGGATTTATTTATTTATTTTTTTAAATTTTTTTATTTTTTTTAATTGGACTAAATAAAAAAATACAAATAAAATTTAAAATAAATTAAAAATAAGTTTTAAAAAAATTAAAAAAATGAAAAAAGAAAATAAAAAAATTCACGTGTCCGCCAGGTCAGCGACACCTGGCGGACACGTCACCTCCGGCGAGCCACGCAGGCATCTCCGGCGCCGAAGGACTAAAACAGCGAAAATTTTTCACTTATGGGACTAGTTTGTGACAGGCTCCACTTACAAGACGAAAATAATAAAGGGTCAGTTACGGGACTAAAAAAACAGTTTACCCTAAAAAATATAGTATTATATACAATATTAACACAATATACTCCCTCCGTCCTGCGAGGGATTTTTATTAGGGACACCGTTTTTTAGGTAGGGTAAATTAGTAAGTTATTAATAATAAGTTATGATATTAATTTATTATTTTTATATGAATAATATTATTGGTATTTTAAAAAAATTTAAGATTATATCTCAAAAAAATATATGCAATATGGATATCATTTTGTATAGATAATAAAATTTTGTATAATACAAATAAATAAAAAATACTTTTATTCAGAAATAAAGAGATTTTGAGTGGATCCTACAAATAAGATGTTAGAAGTTTAATTAAATTAATTTATATTTGTTAAGTATGTTTAAAATTCATAAAGTTAACAAAAATATAAATAGGTCATCTTTTATGAAATGTATTAAAAAAGAAAATAAATCATCTATGGCGAGATCGAGGGAGTATATTATATACAATTTTATTAATTAATAAAAAATTAATAATTTAATACAAAATATTATTTTTTATAACTTGTTACACCTAATATAAAAATCAATTAACACAAAATAAACACACCAAACAACTATTAAAAAATATTTCCCAAACACCTTCAAAATGAAAACGTAAGCAGCGCGTGTTTTACCTACCAACCACAAAAAGCTGTCGGTGAAGAACCGCATGTTCATAATTTGGCGAAAAATGAGAAACATGCCAAACATGTCGTGCTTTGTTTCTGATAACTCAGCGGAGGTTTACTTATATTTATATACTATATCCCTTCAATAACAATAGTTATATTTATTTATTTTTTATTTTAATATTTAAATATTAATTATTATATTAAAATATAATACAATTAAGAGAATTAAAAAAAAAAAGATAAAAATATTTTTATTATTATTTTATAATATAAATATAATGACATTAAATTATACAAATATAGATATTTTAATGTCAAGTATAATGACATAAAAAAATAAATGCAATTATTGTTATGGACGGAGTGAGTATTATTTAATTTAGAAATCAACATTTTCAGATTTTAGCAGATTTTAATTGATTCAAAATTTTGAATTTTCAAAAAATCAATCCGAAGCAAATTGAAATAATCGAAATCCGAGTTACAAAATTTGAATCAAACCAAAAAACTTGAAAAAATTATTTTTAAAACAAATTCTTTATTTTATTTTTTATAATTTTTTTTATAATATTAAATATATAGTCTCCCTGTCTCATAAAAATATTCTATTTTTGTTTATCTCAAAATAAAATACAATTTTTTTAATTTAGTAATTGATACCTAACGTAATAAATACTTTTATAAATTATAATATATTATAAAAATATAATTACTTTTATATTACTAAGAGATATTTTTTTAAATATAAATTAATATAATACTAATATTAAAAAATTTACTTATTATTTTTTTTACGAGAGACAAAGATAGTACAATAAATACAAATAAGTATATCAATATATAATTAATATTAATAACTTTATGCTTTTTATTTTTATTAAAATATTAAATATATTAATATATTGTATTTTGGATTTCATATTGGAGTAGGTTGGATATTTAGTATACCAATCCAAACCAATTTGAAGATCCAAGATTTATGGAACTATTCAATTCGAGCTAATTTGAAAATTCAAAAAAGTTTGAATTAAATTTTAAATTTCAATTTGATTCGGATCAAATATTTAGCTTTCAGATATGTATTAAACTTTTTTTTTGGTTAAATTTATACTTATTTTTATTTTAAGTATGTTCATCAAAATGGATAATTATACTAGTTTGACTCAATAAATATGTACAATAAAAAGATACAACATATATTTTTATATGACATATTATATATAATACCTTCGAAGTTGGACCGGTGTTAGGCCAACTTCCGTGGATGAGCCCGTGTCGGGCCATTCAAGGTTGAATATAGGTTAAATAGATTGAACAGACTATTCAGATCAACAATGTGCATATTCTTTTTCGGAAACTCTACTGAAAGAATTCTAAAGTTAAGCGTGTTTGTTTTATAGTAATTTGAAAATTGATGACCCCTGGAAAGTCTCCTAGAGTGTGCGTGAGTGAGGACAGAAGATGAAAGGACTCGTGTTGACCTGTAGGACCAATTTACGACACAACATGTTCGGCTTTGCGTGGCTTGCGAGCCGGGATATCACATTATATATTGTATTATAACAAAAACACATATTATATTGTAAATATATTATACTGATTTTTATTACATATGTTGATTGATCAACAGAGGATTTAACGCCATATTATAAATAATAATAATTTTTTCTATAAATTTAAATTTTACCCTATTATTTTTAACACATATTAATAACTTCTTAAACACTTTGACATCAAATATGCACTATCAATTAAGCATATTATCAACTGAAATTTTTACAATACATTTGGCCAGATATTTATTTAAGGTGCACTTAATAATTACTATGAAGTCAGAATTTACTAAAATAAAATTCTTAAAATATCATAAAATAACTTTTATCTTAATATTAAAATATTATTTCATATGTTCAATAAGTAAACTTTTAATTTTATCATTTAAATTTTTATAAACAAAACTTCTAATTTTTTTATAAGAAAAACTAAGTATTAACTAAAGGTCAAAAATTACTCTTTCATTACTTTTACTTTAATATCAAGAATAAAATATATATTACATTACTTTGTTACATTATACATCTATAAATATTAATTTACTTTAATTTGCGTTCAAAAATTTAATAAAAAACGAAGGGAGTATTATTTTTGTAATTTCTATAGTCATCAAGCAAATGCATTTTTTATCTAATAAAAAAAGAGTACTTTTAAGTATTTATTTTTGTTCAAAAGATAAACACAAAATATAAACTAAATACAAATAAACACACCCAATGTGCTAAAAATGATTCGATTTTGATTTGAATTTGGAGTAATATTTTGAATTTTGATAAATCGAGTGTGTTTTTGTAGTTTGTATTTTTGTAGTTTGTTCTATTATTATTTTATAATTTTTTACATAAATAATACTCTCTCCGTCCCAAACATCCTGCAACGTTTCTATTTTTGTTTGTCCCAAAATCACTGCAATATTTTTAAATTTTAAAATAATTAATAATATTTATATACATATATTAATATATATTTCACTTTATCCCATCACATCACTCAAATAAATAATTTGATAATCATTTCTCTCTCAAATCACATCACTTAATATCCAAATTATCTCAAATTACCATACTTAATACTCCCCACCTAAATTCATGTGTCAAACACAAATGCTACACAGTGTTCTTCCTCAATCCCTAAAAATATATAGTTTTATTGGAGCCAACATATAAATTTTAAAAATAAATATTTTATTGAAAAAATAAAAAAAAAATAGTTAAGTATGTTTCTGAAAAATTAAATTAGTAAACTAAAAAATATAAAATGGTAAAAAAAAAAAAATATAGAGACTAATAGTTAAATATGAATTTTTTACTTTGTTCAAATTAATTAGTTATAGGAT